AAATACCATTTCTCAACAACATGAATGGTGACTACACACGTGGACCTCGCCAGGTAGAATGCATAGGAATTAGATCGACTCCGTCTGTGGAAATAGGAGATGAAGACGTTCCACATCATGAGTCAGAACAAGGCCAGGGTCTGACTGGGGAGCAGACTGTCAGCTGCTCAAATGCAAACTGAAGCTGAACTTGGAGAAAATCAGAATAAGTCCACAAGAGCCAAATGCGACCCTGGGCACATCCCATCTGAATACAGAGACCATTGCAAGAATAGGTTTGACGTGCCCAGCTACCAATGCCAACCACTCAGGAAAGGGTCAAATCTGGAGATCCTGGATGGAGTGGGAGGGAAAACGTGGAACACAATCCAAACACTCAATAATGACCAGAATTACTGGTCAGATGAAGTCTGGTGAGACCCCCAATATTATGGTCCTGGGATACATTCTGTGCCTGGAATAAAACTCACCCCCAGGGGCTGGCTCTCAGCCCAATAGTTAACAAGATGTACACGCAGACCACTCAACTCCGGATGCCGCACCCACACACTCTATGATAACACATCCCTTAGAGCAGTAGACCATGGGGCACTGGAGGACCAACACTGAAACAGAGGAAATGCAGGACAAACAGGAGGGCATAAATATGAGGGGCACAGGGGGAGGGTTACAGGGTAGGGAGGGGAGGAGACTGGGTTAGGGTTGCACATGGTGAATGGGGAATGAACTAATTGTACACATAACATTGAATGTAAAAATGTGTAAAGACCTGAAGTTAAACAACCAAAAGGGAACACACTCGGCATTTCTCAAGTTGAAAGAAGTGAAGAAAAAAATCAGCCTTTGAGTTCCAATACTGAAGGGTTCTATGGGCAAAAGAATGAATGATGCAGGAAGTATCAAAAGAAGTTGGAAGAAATACACAGTCACTGTACCAAAAAGAGTTGGTCCATGTGCAGCCATTTCAGGAGGCAGCATACGATCAAGAACCTATGGTACTGAGGAAAGAAGTCCAAGTTGGACTGAAGGCACTGGCGAAAAACAAGGCTGACTACCAACTGAGATGTTTGAACAAATGGCTGCAATGCTAGAAGAGCTCATTTATGCCAAGAAATTTGGAAGACAGCTACCTGGCCAACCAAGTGGAAGAAGTCCATATCTGTGCCCATTCCAAAGAAAGGTGATACATCAGAATGCTGAAATTATCAAATAATATCATTAACATTCCATGCAAGTAAAATTTGGGTGCAAATAAGATGAAAATGGTTGCAGCGGTACATCAACAGGGAACTTCCAGAAATCCAAACTGGAGTCAGAAGAGGACGTGGAACAAGGGCTATCACTGCTGATGTTCAGATGCATCTTGGCTGAAAGCAGAGAATACCAGAAAGATGTTTACCTGTGTTTTACTGACCATGCAAAGGCTTTCAACAGTATGGATTGTAACAAATTATGGATAACATTGAGGAGAACAGGAATTCCAGAACACTTAATTGTGCTCATGAGGAACCTGCACATGGACCGGGAGGCTGTTGTTCCAACAGAACAAGGGGACACTGCATGGTTTAGAATCAGGAAGGGAATGTGTCAGGGTTGTATCCTTTCACCATACTTATTCAATCTGCATGCTGAGCAAATAATCCAAGAAGCCGGACCATATGAAGAAGACCACGACTGGAGGAAGAATCATTAACAACCTGTGATATGCAGACAATACAAACTTCACAAGTGAAGAGGACTTGAAGCACTAACTGATGGAGATCAAAGACTAGTCTTCAGTATGGATTACACCGCAATGTAAAGAAAACGGAAATCCTCACAACCGGACCAATAAGCAACATCACAATAAATGGAGAAAAGATTGAAGTTGTCAGGGATTTCATTTTACTTGGATCCACAGTCACCACCCATGGAAGCAGCAGCCAGGACATCAGATGACGTATTGCACTGGGCACATCTTGTGCAAAAGACCTCTTTAAAGTGCTGAGGAGCAAAGATGTCTCTTTGAAGACTAAGGTGCGCCTGACCGCAGCCACTGTCTTTTCAATAAACTCACATAAATGTGAAAGCTGGAAGACAGAAGACTTGATGCTTTTGAACTGTGTTGGGGAAGAATATTAAAACTACCACAGACTGCCAGAACAAACAAAGCTATCTTGGAAGAAGTACAGCCAGAATGTTCCTTAGAGGCAAGGATGCCAAGACGTCACCTCGCATGCTCTGGTCATTTTATCAGAAGGAACCAGTCCCTGGAGAGGGCTATCATGCTCGGTAGAGGGTCAGCGAGGAAGGGGAAGACCCTCACCAAGATGGACCGACACCATGGACCGACAACGTGGCTCCAATGACGGGCTCAAGCACAGGCCGGGCAGCCTTCTGTTCTGTTGGACACGGGGTCACTGAGTCAGAGCCTCCTTCGGCCACCCAGACAGTGCACACCAACAATGGGGTTTATGGTGGGCACCTTGGCCATGGCAGACAGTCTGCACTCACAACATGAGCACTGTCCACACAGCTGCACTGAGGCTCTGTCTATGCACCTCTACCCTCTGCTGGTTTGAGTCTGTGGGCTGGAATGCTTTGCCTTTTCTGTTGGGTCTACCTATCAGCACACAGACAGACAGACTAATATCTCCTCTTTTAAGTAACAAACACAAAACCAAAACACCACCTCTTGACACTGCCTCGCCATGGCTAACAGACCCTCTCTCACCTCCCTTTAGAAACAAAGGCCTGAAAGGGGCTGTCTGTACTTGCTGGCTTGTGAACCTGCCCGTCTGGCCTCTGCCCACTCCCCACTAAGTGGTTCTAGTTCTGGGGTCCTCCCATGTGGAAAAACCCACTGGTGCCTGCTCTGTCCTCCCTGTATGGCCTCCCCTCCCCCAGCCAAGTGCTCACAGACCCCCGATCCCAGGTGCTCGGGGTCCTCCCCCTCACCTTTTAGGTTCTTGTGTGTGTGTGTGTAGCTGTCTCTCTGTGTGTTTCTCTCTCACCACCCCCTCTATTTTTCTCTCAGACTGTCACCTTCCTGTCCGTCTCTGTGTCTTGTCTCTGTGTGTGTCTCCTGTCTCCATGTGGGGGGCTCTGTGTGTGTTTCTCAGCCCCTGCATCAGATGCTCCCCCTGCCCACCGCGTCTCTCTCAGCCCCTCCGCTCTCAGCTCAAGATACTAAGGAAGCACTCTGCAGGCCCCATCACACAGCCATCACGCCAGGGCGGCTAGGTGGAGAAACTGAAGTGAGACACAAGACACAGCATTTCGAAGGTCACAGGTTATTTGGGCCCGCGCCCCTTCCGTTTGCAAATGGCACCTGTAGGAAAGCAGCTCACCATTCCTGCAGCTCAGGGGAAGGGATGAGTCCTGCAGACTCCTTGGAGGAGCCTTCCACCCGCCCTTGCCACCAGTTGCTGTCATCCTTGTTGATGATCTGGATGACGTCCCCAGTAACAAACTGCAGGCCTGCCTCCTTGCAAGGGATCAGATGGTCCTTTTGGGGATCATAGTCAAACTGCGCTCTCATAAACATCTGAAAGAGACAGCCACGCTGAAGCGCCCACAGTCCCACCCCAGAGCAACAGGGTCGGGATGGAAAGGGAATCTCCTCCAATTTTCTCAGAGTCTCAATGTCCAGAATCCATTACAAAATGCTCTCTGCAGACACCCATTTGATAAGCACAGAGCCCCTATCAGTCAGGGCTCCGCCTGAAGCAGTCACAGAATGACTGCACATGAGGACTGTCATGGGTAAGGGCCTATGTCAGGGACACTCAGAGGAAGACTGTGGGAGGCGTGGGTGGAGCCCAGATCCAACAACAGGCCTCCCTCACGGTGCTGCTTTTCAGCAGACACGCCAGGCCCCTAGCCTGTTACACAGCCCTGTAACAGGAGGCCTTTCCTAGAGGACAGTTTGGCAATATGAATATACCCCAAATCCCCCGCCACTAATAGCTCTGGCCCCAGCTGACGGAAATAAAAACTGAGTTGTCAGCACGGGTGGATGTTATGTTTGTAAGGGAAATATTCCTGAAAAGTACTGCTGATAGAACACTACAGGGGAACGTCATCAAACTACAAAAATAGCTAGTACCCGTGAAATTTTAAAAATGTAAGTATTTATACGTGCAAAGGGAAAAAAAAAAGAGTGGAAACAACTCTGCCCAGATTTGATAATGGTTCATTCTGGGAGTAAGTTTATTTATTCTCTTTATGCTTTCCCCTATTTTCCATAATTTCTAAAGTAAACATTATTTCACAATGAGAAAAAAAAAAAACTTTAACAGCTCCAATCCAAATAGCCATTTCTCAAATTTGAACCCAACATTGAATGGGAATTGGTGAAGTTACGGCCATCTACTGGACATACTACCCTATAACTGTAACACTCAATTGGTAGCAGAGGAGATGATGAAATCATGGTGTGTTCTTACAATGAACACATGGGAATGAACCATCTGTTGCTACCGGCAACATGGATGAGTCCCACAAAAATGAGAGAAATGAGACACAAAATAATTCTTCCAGGTCTTAGTTTGCATAGCTGTGTTCACTCTGCAAAAATGCATGTAATTGCGTACCTGTGAGGTGGGCACTTTGTTGTATATATATTCCACACATACAAAATCATCAATGAAAAAAGTGTACTCAAAAAGAGAATGGTCACATGCGATCAGTAGTGGTCAAAAAGTGATAATTTTTCTTTTTCCTTTTTATATTTTCATATATTTTATTTTGTATAAACATTGTTTTTCAAATAAAAAAAAGAAGGAAAACTGTACCATGACACTACTAGTAAGCTATGACTGAAACATCAGGGTTATCTCAAAAACATACCTTCTCCTACTGCAGGAGCTCTGATGATACTGTGGTTAAAGCATTTGACTGCTAACCAAAAGGTCAGTGGATGAGGCAGTCAGCTTCCATGAACACTGACAGCCTTGGAGACCCTGTGGGCAGTTCTCTGTCCTCTAGGGGCGCTGTGGGTCAGAATGGACTCCACGGCAGTGGGTGTGGTTTGGGCTTTGCTTC